TGTTATTCATAAAACCTTAAGATGCAGGAGGAAGGGGAACTGGGCAAATCACAGTCGTAAGCAACAGGGTACATATGTGGCTACTTTCACTGAAATAAGATGACAAAGCTTGTGAAGATATAATAAGCTCATCTTGTAATGTTTGAGATAGTTCATAACTAATAATACATATGTGGCTAATTTTAGGGCCAATAATACTTGTTATATACAACTGGTCTTGTTACTCATGACTTTGTAACCTGTACCAGACTCTGGCCCACCCGTGGTCCAGTAAAGACATAATCACATCATATTGGGTAAATAACTTTGGAATTTTTGCCAAATCTTGCTAGTTTTTCCAAATAGTTGAGTAAATTTTATTTTTGTTACAGATAGATTCTATACACCTTCTGTTACTTTCTGGGCTTGAATTTTCTGTTTGCTACAACAGATTTTGCTTTGTATCATCTCTCCAGTAGTAAACTTTTGATGTACATCTGTAGAGTGCCCCAGCAAAACAAGCAAGTACGTGGAGTAAGGATTATTAACAAAACAATTCGTTTCAACTATTCTATTAAATTGAGGGTTATAAATAAAACCAGGAGGAAAAATAAGACTTCATGATGTAAAACATTTAGTGCAGAAAAAAAGATGATCCTAAACAACCCAAGGAAAACAGTTGAAGTAAACACTTGCTGATACCTCTGACTCAGTTTTGTGTCATTAATTCTTGTCTGCCAGTTTGGGGTCAGCAGGCTGCCACTCAAAGTTATCTGCTTGTTCTGCTGAGTTTGGGTTCCCAGTCTGCCCGTCAAGAATTCTACCCACTTTTGTACTGATAGCGTCCTGGAGATCTTGATTCTTAAAATCCGTGACAGCTCTTTATTTTGAAGTTCTAAGGCCGTATTTGTTATATGTTTCTTTCAGAGGAATTAATAATTGGCTTCTAGGGTATTGCAGGAACCCTCAGGCAAGGTGAGGGGAAAACAAAAACTACCTACTGAGGAAATAATGGATGGATTGTGTTCTTTTATTATGGCAACTGACAATATCTGAAAGACATAGAGTGGAATCTTCTATTGGGAGTAAATATATGGATATATCTGTAATTATTTTTAAAGACAAGGATTTTGATGTAAGACTGTATTCTAGACTTGGAAGAACTGGCAAATGTCTAGGGATTTTCCTTTCATCCTAAAGGATTTGAACAACAGTCATCACTCAAAGACAGATGTTTTAAGACTAGCAATTAAACATTTTATGTGATTTTATTGAAATCATTTATTCACGTTTAAATATTTGTATGCACACTCCAAAAAAAGGAGGAATAAAATCACTGAAATCTAGTTTAAATAATACCTAAGCTATATGAGATTAGCTTAGAAAATACTGCTTTTTGTCTCTGATTTGATTTGAGAGACTTCCTACATTGAATGTTCAAAAGGAAGCAGGCTTATAATACTTTCAAGTCAATAAAAACATTTGGAGTGCACCAAACATACTATTTATTTCTATCATTCTTTCTTTTATAAAGTGAAGGAGTACACTTTGGATGCTGAATATCAGCTATATGGGTAGCATTTAATAAAATTTATATGGAGAGGAAACTTCCATGTAAGTTTTGAAGTTAATTCTTCCAAATTTAAAAACCTGTGATCGATTACAATTCACATAATTTGCGTTATCACTGAAATTTAGAAAAAAATTATTTTTATTGACATATTAAAATGTACTGATCTTGGGAGAAAAATAATTTGGGGAAAAATAAAACAAATGTCAGCAGAGACCAGTTATTCAACTGAGGGAAGATTACTGGTGCCAGAGTATAAGGAATTTTTATTGAATGATTCCTTAACCAGGGTTATAATAGTATTAAAGTATTAAAAGTAAGCATGGCAGAAATTAGCATTATGATCATTAAAATGTTTAGTTTTCCCAAGGTGATGAGTCTTCATTGTATGATTTCAGAAAACCTATATTCATGTTAAGAAGCGACATACAAGCAGAAATTAAGTGACTTGAGAATTGAAAGTAGACGTCCAGGTACAGGAATGAAACTTGAGTTACCAGAGTGGAATATAGAGACTGCTGACTGGAGTGAGAGCTGCCCTGGTTCCTGGAGGGCACCCACCAAGGAACACGGGGTGGGAAGGCCAGAATGAGAAGTGAAACTGGGGGTGAAGGCCAGGGAGAAGCAGGTGCTCTGCAGTGGCCAGGAAAGGTCCCCACGCTGAGGTGAAGGCCTGCCCTGTTACATCAGCACTTTCTGCTCTGTCTCTGCCCGGCTCTCTCTGACTGGGACGCAGGCAAGGGCGACACCTCTCTTCAGGCTCTGTGGTGCTCTGTGGTGCTCTGGGAGAGAGCACAGGCGGGCCAGATCTCTTTGTCCATATTTGCTCTTTGCCTGACAGCAGGTCTGAGGAGGTCTTCTGCTGAGCCCTGGGTGCCAGCTGGTTTCACTGCCTGCACGTAGCCTGTGAAAGGAAGGCCAAAACCATAAAACAGTGGTCTGAAAGAAGCAGGGTTCCAGGCATCAAGCCCAACAATGATAGGATGTTTCTGGCCTCCCAGGGACCAGGGTGCCAGGGCCAAGGGGTGCAGACGTAGGGATGTTGCTGGGGACCCGGGGGATGAGTTCATAGGAAATCCCCAACTCCTGGGTGTGCAGCACCAAACTCACTTCTGAATATCTACTCAAATGCTTAAAAGCAGAATCTCAGAGACATTTGTACAAACGTGCTCATAGCAACATTATTTAAAGAGCCAAAAGTTGGAAACAACCTGTGTTCATCAACATATGCATGGAAAAATAAAATATGATACATATATAGGATGGAATATTATTCAGCTTTAAAAAGGAAGGAGACTGTGACATGTTACAGCATGAATGAACCTGAGGACATTATACTAAATGAAACAAACTAGGCACGGAAGGATAATTATTGTCTGATTCCACTTTTGTGCAGTACTTAGAGTAATCAAATTCATAGATTCAAAGTACTGTGGTGATTGCCAGTGGCTGGGGAGAAAGAGGAGTGGGGAGATGACATTTCATGGGTATAGGGTTTCAGTTTTGCAAGATGAAACAAGAGCTGAAAATCAGCTGCACACAATGTGCACATAACACTACAGAACTGTACACTTAAAATGGTTAATATGGTAAATTTTGTTATGTGTATTTTTATCACAATTTTTTAAATTTTAAAAATTAAAGAAAGTAGCATATACATATTACAATGAAGAAAAGACTTTCACCTATGACCTTTTTTCTGTTTTGTTGAGCTGGTCAGACAGAATTTTATTATATTCTCACATAGTTGATCTACTATGGTAGGTATTTGGAAACACATAAATAGTAAGGTAGATTTTAATATTGACCTTGGGACTCTGGTTTAAGACGTAAGGTTTTATACCAATAGATGGCATCCCTGTAAATACAGGAAAACCATTGAACAATTTAAGCAGTGGTATCTTGTCCATTTACATGAGATAAGTAATGATTATTTTTCCTCAGTCAGTTTTTAAATAAATGGTGTCTGTCTATATCATTACGTTTTCACTAAACATAATCTTCCTAATGGCAAATGAGTGAATTCTCATGTAGATTCTTGGAAGGTGAAAATATGCAATGAGCGACTTTTAAGCTTTTAG